TCACGTCTGTAATTTATTGCCCCGGCAAGACGCCACACAACGAAACATGACGAAGTCGAACGCCGCACCCTCCAAGTACTATGAAGCTTCGCTGACGTCACATGACGAATCTACACACCGTTTTGAAAACATAGTGTTACGGTTCAACCACTGGTACGTAGCTAATAATCTGAGATGAGTAAACAGTTTTGCTCTGGCCATATGCAACGAATATTTTAAATACAGAAAGGATTTTTTCTCTGCTGTACTTACGGAAATGACTCATTCCCTTCATTCTATGGAATGCACGCCATTGAGTAGAATAAAGTATTCGAGGAAAAGAAGCAAAGAATTCGACATTCAAAAATATTCCTGGCCCTTGACAAGAATGTTTAAACAGGAAAAATATTAGAAAGCAAAATATGAATGAATTGGTAATAAATTGTATAAACATAATTCGAAACTCCGATGTTTAAGAAAAAGCATCAAGGAAACTGTTTTTCCTATGAAGTCGGTATAATTTGTAGGTCTAAAAGTACGCTTTGCACTTACAGTCCTAGCTTCAGCTACGGCGTGTAACTTTCATTTAACAGGATTCGGGGGGGAAATAGAGCGGAGTCGGGGGAAGTTGCTCGCTGGGGCGCCGGGTTTCTCAGGCGGGCAGGTGCCGGCGCAGGCTTGATGTCTGGTATGACGTACTACATAGGAATGCCTCGAACACTAAATATTCCACTGCTTTGCTTGCAGGCGGCGAGCGCAGATGACCTTCACGACTCGATGCGCCAGATGACGACGAAGCTGCGCCGCCTGGAGACGTGGCTGGGGGAGATGGACGGGCGGGTGCGTCGGGCCCTGGACGACGCTTTGGACGAGAGGCTGAACAATGTCCTGAGCGATGCAGTAGACGCATTGGAACAGCGGATAACGAGGCGGATGGAAACAGCTGTTGCCGCCCTCGAGAAGCGGCTGGAGCGGCGTCTGCACAACATAATCTGTCGCCAACACGGTGAGCTAATCCCCTGCCCTCGCATTTTCCATCAGATTGTCTTACCGCTTCTACCAACTGGCCAATATAAACTGTGACTCATCTATCTTAAGAGGCGTTGTGCATCGATCGTTATTTCGATTTTTAATAAACAGCGTATGTACTATAACATAACCTCTGATTTTAACATACGCTATCAGTTATTTTCAATATTTGGCGCATTCTATAACTCTGTTGTACATAATTTCACTCGTGGAATATTCCTATTAAATACGCGTGCTTTGAAAGTTCTTAGATAAATGCCCTCCTCGCTTCGCGAGTCGGGAATTTATCAACAATTTCCAAAGCACTCGTGGTACCTAAGATAACCGTTTACAGGGGAGAACCTTTTAAACATGAGTTAAAATAAATGTTTCCCTTACTGTCCATACCTTGTACCATACAATAGTAAATTACCTTGTACCATACAAAAGTAATAACAATATATAAATTCATGGTTATTAGTATGCAAAAATTGGAAACGTTTAAAAAAATACACAATTATATATATATATATATATATATA